TTGTTGTCGCTCTGTTCGGGAGGATCGTATACTTCAAGCGAGGTGGTCACTTTGTGGATGACCGACGTTGTCTCCTGAGCACTGGACACATATTCCACGCCTCCCAGCTTCCATTCGCCGGAATTGTTGACGAAAACCGACCAGATGTTCACGTTGTTGTGCCGCAAACTGCCGTCATTGTTCAAGAAGCTCAGGCCCCTCTGTAATCAGCAGCGAGAGCAACAATCAGCCTCCATCAGGGACGAGCTCGAGGCTGCTTACAGTGATTTGAAAGATGCCCCATGCCACATACAGGTCCTTCTGGGGCTCTTCAAGGGGCAGCTTTTCCAGATGGGTGCACAGAGGCTCCACGCGCTCGGTCACCAGGTAGAGCAGCTTCTCCGACTCGAGACTGTCAAGGAAAGTCAGAACACTGGGATGGCGGAGCGTTTTCAACCGTTTCACTGCCCCTTTGGCGACTTCCAGTTGAGCGTCGGAGCCACTCTTCAGGTCGTAGACGAACACTGACACTTCTTCGCCAGACCCCTGGGGGTCGAAACAATGAGCCTCATCAGGTACTTACTCTTCATCAGTTCCAGGGGACTTACCTTTTTCTTTCCCTTGTGCAGTGTCCAGACACTGTGGCTTTCGAACCCTGGCACCAAATCGCCGATTTCGTAGTTGAAATCCTTGCAGGGATCGCGCGAGAAAAACGACCACATTTCTACGGAGGAACTTGCGCTCGATTTAGTTTAATAATTGCCCCATTAAAATTTTATTTACTAAAAACACAACACGTAAACATAACCTCATCGCGTGCCACGACAGCTGACTTTCACACTCTTTTATAGAGCAGCAGCTAATAGAGGAACATAATCCTTGCGACGTTGCCACCCTTTGCCAATGAATAGGCGCGGTCAATTCAAAATATCTAYCTATACCAGTATTGCTTTTTAACTAGGAGGCTGATAACTTGCGTTTACGGAGCCGCCTTACACAATTTATCGGTTGTAGTCAGAGACAAGAYCTCAGATTACCAAACTAACTCTTCTCAACAATATTTCGTCTTTGGTGTACATGAAAGTGTGTARGTGCAGGCGTTTGACATGCATTGAAGTCCTTACCTATACTAATSTTWTAAAAATGAATATATTTAATGAATAATTTTTAAAAATAGTTTCTAACTAATTCAATAAACATCTTGGTCAGCTGTTAGCTTAAAACCGCTTAATCTCAGTCATTCCAGTCTCTTGTTCTGTTTGTAATTACACTTTCAATAACAACATAAACCGGAAACTAAAAAATATGAGTTGAGCCCGTTTCCTTTTCTTTTATTGCCCCTTGCCCTTTAGAGGAAAATAACAACTGCCACCCAGAAAAAAGGCAAAGCCGGAAAACGCTCTCACTTAATCTTAGTCCTCACTATATAACTTCACTTTAGAAAAAAGATTGAAGATTGAAGTCTCCCTATTTGACTATTGCTAAAACTCATAAAAACAGAATCACCTCATGGGCATTTTAAATAGCAGGCTGTATAGCATGGCAAAGAAACGGGGTATGGAGAATTTGAGGTACCAAATTCAAATTTGACATAGCGTGGCAAGGCAACGTCGCAAGGATTCTGTTCTCTTACWAGCCGCTTCTCATTGAAGCAGGCGCGGGACATAACCGCAAATTTTATTGTTTTGATGTTGTCAGTTACTTAATCAGATTACATTTGAGAYCAAGCGCTGAGCGTCTAGTTAGCCTCCTACAGTAGCTGGCGCCTATGAGTTCTCTACTGGGACGTTGTATCCTGCTCAGGCAGCTAAAGCCAGGATCAGTCTGTATAACAGCAAAAAGATTCACTTTCCATGAATACGATAACCGAGGGGGCTACCAGGGGCCTCTGCCCCCATTTAAAGATCGAATGCGAGTCGGACTGGCTGAACTGAAAAAGGAAGTGAAACTTTGGTGCCAGGAGGTTAAGGAAACTTTGGAAGGCAAGTGATCCTATTGGCTCAACTTGTGGTTTTTCAAGACTTGTGCCATTGCAGGCGATGCGATTATGATAGCTGCCACGCCAGGCCAAACGGATGTGGCTTGGAGGTTCAGGCAGCCACAATCTCTGGACAACTGGATAACCACCTGCGATTCGGATCACAACGAGGGCTTCAGCCACTGCAGCCTGGAACTAAATCAGTATGGGAACGGTGTTTTCAGTGGACGAGTCGATTTAAAAGTGCCGAAGAGTGGTAAAATTACGCGCGCTGGGTACTGCAACATCAAGACGAAAAATGCACGGGTAAGCAGCACACAATCAAAGGTTTTGTTAACTTTTGCTTGAAGGTGAGTTTCAAGTTTGTGCCTGGAAACCCTCCACACTCTGCATCATCAAGCAAATTTGTAGCTGCGTGTTTTCTTTGAGGCAGAAATCCTTCAAAAGAGAGAGTTACTTGGACTGGACCTCCTACAACACCTTAATAATGAAAGTAAGAGGCGATGGAAGAACTTACCTATTGAACATTGCCACTAGAGGCGTCTTCGATACGATGTGGAACGACATGTACAATTATCAACTGTACACTAGAGGAGGCCCCTACTGGCAAGTCGCTAAGGTAGGACAACTCTTGCCACAAAGCTGGCTGAAAAATGTAGTCAGAATTGATCGATTGCAGATACCGTTTTCCAAGTTTTTCTTCTCGTCCAAAGGCCGGATTCAGGACGAACAATGTGCATTACCGCTGAACAGGGTGACCTCGTTTGGAATCTCCGTTCAGGATCGACATGGGGGCGATTTTTGCTTGGAAATTGATTATATCGGCGTGGAGTACGATCCGAAGCACGTGGAGGAGTTTGCCTATGAAATGTACTCGCTACCATCCGGCATTGCTAGGGTATAAAACGAAATTGTTTGGTAATCCAATGGTTCATTTCCGGTTCACCCACTGTGTATGTTCAGTCTCTTCTACTGCCCTGGTCCTGCTGAAATCCGTCATTCTTTCCTGCGTTTGTGAACAAAGGATAAACCTGATCGAAGTGTTTCAAAGACCGCATGGAAAGTGCTATGAAAAAATTTACTTGGTAAAGCTGAAGTTTTACAACAAATATAACAATAAACTTCATTCAATTAATGTCTTCTGAAGCAATCCACGTTGCAAGTGCGAATTGAGAAGTTTCACTTCGACTAATGCCAGCAGGTTGAAAAACTTGTTGTCAAACTTGCATAATATTTACGGGCAGCCTCCGCCCTCCGATCAGTGTATTCGGGTTAAGTCTTCGACTGTCTTAATTAGATGTTCGCTAGTTACCTGAAAGCGCGCAAATCGCGGGATTGTTAAACAGCCCAACGGAAGAATTCCTTAAGACACTTACGCCGAGGTTTGTGGCAACTTCCTTCATTTTCTCCGGCGGCAAATCTAAGAAGCTCTCAATCAGATCCCCGTCAATGAAACCTTCGCTGCTGGTTTCAGTCTTTATGTCCGTGTTGAACGCCCGCCAGAACTGATGACTGATTCGACCGACCGACTTGATGGTTGAGGAGAGTTTCGATTGTAAATCGCGCAGCGAGTCGTAGAATTCTTGCGAGATTTGCGTTACTAAACCTGCAAAGGACCAGGTTTGATTAAACAAGACTGATTATGCGATGGGCGTCTTCCACCTATCGCTCCTCCGACTGTTCCAAACAGCACACAGCCTCTAGTGGGAGTGGAGGTCTCTCCAATGTTCTGCATGACTAAAGACCCGTGCTGGAACACGTTGATCATGTCCCCTATATGGTAGTGCCCCACATGGCTCATTTGCGACCGTTCTTCGTCGGTGGCAGCGGCGCTGTCCTTCTGGCACACGAACATGTTAAAGGAGTTTTCGGCTCCGAGGAAGATTTCATCGTCCAGGAATTCGACGGCGGTCATCCAGTTCGGGTTGTAATCCCTTGCTAAAACCCCACTTATCCTCAACCATTCGGTTAGCAATCTTTGAAGGACTTGCCCATTTCCTCAAAACTGCCCTCCATCGTTTTATACGCCAGAAGGGTGATGCTTCGCATCAGATCGCCGACCAGAATGAAGTCTCCTTTGGTCTTCAGGCACAACGACACGATGTTATTGAAATGCGAGCACTCGAGGCGCAATTCCTTTTCCGTCGTCCATTCAAACAGGCGCACCGTACTGTTAATGCTGGCCAGCACTTTGCCGTTGAACTCAGCTAGCGAATAACAAGCGCCTTTGATTTCCTTTTCGGACACCTGCATTAGCTTATTGTCGCTCCAATGGAACACTATGATTCGGCCCTGTTTTGGTTCGGACTCTTCTGGATTAACAGTCGCTGTTCCTAAAGGGGGAAAGTCGAAATTGGTCATCTTTAACCGTTACGGGCAAAGGGGCGTCAATTTTTGCCGCAAATTTACTGATTTTCTACCAGTGAATTATTCCGGGTGTTTTTTAAATGTCCGGGCGATTCCTCAGCTATTTTTAACAAAAAACTTCCATGTATGGTCTTACTTATCGAGCTACCGGGTGTTTAAAGCATCTTTATTTTTATCAAAAGGATAGTCTTTCGAGGCCATTCCTTGAAACGAGTGGGTTTTTAGATCGTCGTACAATAGATTTTCTTCTTGACGTTTCGCAAGCACGAGTGGCTTGCATCTTCAGAAGTGGTTTGCTTGAACGCTTACACTGTTCTCATCAGAACCCGATCAGTTC